TAAGAATGACTTGTCACGATTATATGAACGAAGAACTGCAACTACTACACCGAGATTTTCTTCAGATGTTGTGATTTGGGGTTCAACATTCTTTGTATTCTCTCCAAGTACAATATCGATACGAATAACAACATCCTATGGTATAGAAGTTGAAATTTTTCGATATTTGCCCCATAGTAATTTACTACAACCAGTAACTGGTAGACCATCAAGAACTTGAGGGTATGAGTGTATGAGGGTGATGATGAAAAGAAGACCCACACCCACACCCTTCAATATAAAACTGTTACAAGCGCAAAATGTAAGAAGAAATCGTTAAATAATACTGGCACTGGATAGTGTGGATATATGCTCGACTTTTTTTTTAAATTAAAATTTACGAAGAAAAAAATATTGAGCGAAATGTAAGAAAAATTGTTGGCCTTTGGACACAGTTATGGATAAAATCAATATCTAATCAACCGGAAAAATGTAAACGATTAACATCATGACCAGAGGAAGGTAATTAAACGTTTGTGCTTGAATTTGGTGGAATAAGTTCCCATGGATAGAAATCATTGGCTATTTTCACGATTTTCTTGATTTGTTGTCGACTATTACATAAATTTTGTTTATTGCAAGTAAAACCAAAATGATTCCAGTCAGATGAAAGTGGTGGATCACCTTGTACAAGTGTGATACGAAAATATTGACGAGGAAAGATTGTCACCGTACTATCATTTCTACATTCTCCTTCGAAGTCAATCTGGTCATTCTCGATTATTTCATATCCATGACATCCATAACCATTTTGACATGTTACGGGTTGATCCTGATTATCAGAACATTGTTGAACATTGACGACCGTTGGATCGAATATTTCCTCTTCGATTTTGTCTAGTATCAGTTCATTTTGAATTAATGTTTGTATGGTTAATAGATAATATATTTTTGCACAGTCAAATGAATTCTGACAAGTGTATGTGATGTTGACATCCTTCATTTTTGGTTCATCGAATTTATTTTGAACTGCTAGTTCTAGACGATAATTTCCTATCTCATCGGATCCGCCTGTAAGGTTCATATGAATTTCTTTTGTTACATAATTTGTACGAAACACTACTTGACAAACATCAGTTTCAACAAGTTGTCCATCGCATCTTGATGGTAATTCTGATGGATTATTAAATGATAGCACAATATCATTACAGTTTGTACACGCGAGACAGACAACCAAAGAAAGGTTTGCAATAGAATAGAGAAGCGTAAAAGTCGTTTTACCAAACATCATTATCAATGTAGTACTTACTTCGAATAGAGAAAAATGAAGAAGAAACGAAGTTGTCTTGTTGCTAGATAAAAGATGTGTGTTATTTGTCATTCTCACCAAAGATATCACCTGTTTTAATTTTATTGCATCGTTCACATTTACAAAGCACGAATGACGTTATGACATGAGACGCCCAACTGCCTTTGATGGTATAGATGTGGGTGTGAAATGAATACTTACACACCCACACCCACACCCCAAACTTCTACAATCACCAATAGTGTATGACTTGAATTTCCTGGAATTCCTATAATTTCTAAACTGTACAAGCGTCTCCCCTTTTGATATAAACATCTAACCGATCAATTTGTGCTATTGGCGACGACATTTATGGTAAAGTGCATTAATGTTCTACTCCATGATTTATCCGAAACGCCGCCATATACCTGTTTCATCGACTTGTGCAATAACACAACACGCATAACATGTGCACATGTATAAAGAACCGTAAAAACCATTTGTCTACTCGTTTTTTTTCTTTCCATCAAGCAACAGACAAATGCATTATAGTCATCAGATATTACAATGTTGATTTCCACACGATTACACTATAATTTGTAGATTGATTAAAAAATTATTAATTACTTTCAGATGAAGCAAACTACGATATCTACTCCATTGCTGTCACCATTCAATGGCAAAACGATTGTACTCGAACTTGGTCGTGAAATAGGTTTCAAAGCTAAACAAGAACTTATAAATTATTTACGAGAACAAAAAGCATATATTTCATATATTCTTACAGCTAGTGTATGTTATTCTTTCATATGCTACGAACACGCTGCTATTGTTGACTATTTATTTTTTAGACTGATTATGTTTTAATCACGAATAATGTAGATAGCTACAAGACACGTCGTGCGAAACAACTTGGTTTGCCACTAGTTAATGTTGAATATGTGTATGAATATCGTCGCTTGCCGCCTGGTCAAACATCGATCGATATAAGTAAATTTATCATCAAGTCAATTGAAGATCAAGAAAATTTTACACAGACTGGTACAATATCCATTACAGGTATATGAATGTCAACTTTTTAAAAATCATGTTGGAGATATTTATTCATTAGGATCTCGAACAAATGCAATCAAAATCAATAAATTTGATTTAACTAAAATCAAAATATGGAATTCAGACGATATTAATTTACCTCGTTTCGATGAGTTAACTCATTGTGAAATTGGAAAATGGGCCATTTTTAAAGTACAGTTCTATTCTTTTCTAGCTCTTATTTTTTTCTTATACATCTAATGTTCGTAATAGGAAACCAATGATAATTCAAATGTGTACTTTGTTCTTGAACTTCAAGTCATTCCTGAACAATACTATGATCGAATAACGAGTGATTATCGATTACGATTTCGTTATGAAAAACAAACTATTGTTAACGATGGACAACAGCAAAATAAAAAAGTATTGATACAATATGCATTCAGTGATGATCCAAATGAACAGCAACAATTATTTGCCACGTATTATCATCGAGTAGCTACAATGTCACGTGTAACACGAATTCGTGAGATGTTACCTGATAAATTAGGATCAAAATTATTATTACGTGTATGTTAAACGAGAAATAGTTTTTCAACTAAAAATAATTATTTTTAGTCTTTATTTACTCATCGTATCGATACACAAATACTTGATGAGAATGCATGTCAATTAATTGAATCGATTTGGTTAGAATCAATTGGTGATTTGAATAAAATTTTGAGCGTACCACCTGAATCAATTACTCTCAAAACAGTATATTTATCCATTTTTCTATATTTAAATTTATTTTATTCCTTATCTATTAAATAGATTATCGAAGCTGAAGCTGCACTACTTGAATTGAAAACGACTAATGATCCTCGTGCTGCACTTCGTTTCTATTCACTTATTCCTCATCGGTCACAATATACAGTTGATCTAATAAAAAATCGTCGAGTATTAACAGAAAAAATTGATTTATGTCAAGTATGTCTATTTTGTTTAATGATTTAATTTAATTGTTCGCGTTCGTTCAGATGCTTCGAGACATGCTTACAGTCAATGAACTAACTAATTGGAATGTTAAAGCACCGATTGAAGCGAAATATCGAGCATTGAAATGTCACATTGAAACTATTGATAATTCAACACCTGAATTTAATAGTATTGCTGAATTGATTCAATCGTCAACAGATAAGTGAGAACAATTGAAGTTTGATTTTATAATGATAACTTTGATTTTTTTATTCATTAGTGGTAAACAAATTGTTATTCATCAAATATTCAATGTAACTAAACAAATCGATGCACTTAATTTTTGCACATCTCTATCAAATCAACGACAATTATTTCATGGATCAAAATATGCTAATTTTCTTGGAATTCTTTCACGGTAAAACATTTATTTCATTTTCTAAATAATATTTATAGTACAATTATGTATATTCAGTGGTTTAGCAATGCCAAAAATGGTAGTTGAAGAATTAGGTGTCGTACGTACTGATATTGGTTGTCTTGGTTATGGACTTTACTTTTCTGATTCTGCTTCTACATCTTTAAAATATACAACAGCAAGTACAACACGACCTGGTAGACGATTGTTATGTATTTGCCAAGTAGCACTAGGTGAATCAGCCAATTATTATTCATTTGCACCAACTCTCGTCAAACCTCACGATGGTTTTCATAGTACACATGGAGTCAAAAGAACCGAAGAAAACAATTCAATGTTTACCGTAGGTACATTATTAGTAAAAAGAAAGTTTTCGAGTGTCCTACGAGTTAAGAAGATGATATAGGAGAAGATTTCGTACAAGTTGAAGTAAATACGTAATGAAAATTCCTCCCAGTTTGATATATATATAGAATAGATTTGAAATAAAAATTCGACAATTGATCTCGATTTCATAATTTGTTGTGTAATTATCAAAATAGGATAATGAATATGCAATCTATCAACTTGATCAACAACGTTTACTCTACATTGTGGAAGTTTCATGGGCACCGAACGATACTCTCAATATCGAATTTGAACGATTGCCAATTATTCATCATCAACAACATGCACTAAAATTAAGTGAACATGGTAATGATAATTAAATAGTTTTTGTTAAAATGAAATTCAATTAGATTATTCTGTTACATTCTAGTTGAAGTTCCAATGACAATTGAAGATGAAGTCATTGAAATAGCCGAACAAGACTATGGTTTAATAAATCCATCATCGGGAAAACTTGTACCACTTAAATCATTTCATATTCGTGCTCAAATTGTTGATACTACAGTTGAGGTAAATATATATATCGATCATTTCTCATGAAAGTCACACTAAAATTTATCATATTTCTTTTTTTAATATGAAAAAAAAAGGTTGTTCTCTATCAAGTCTATCACAATACGAGTTCGATACCAATTGAAGCTAAATATGTATTTCCTCTTGATGAAAATTCAACTGTATGTGGTTTCGAAGCACATATCAATAATAAAATTATTAAAGGTGTTGTCAAAGAGAAAGAACAAGCTAAACAAGAATATCGAGAAGCAATCGAAAAAGGACATGGTGCTTATTTGATGCATCAAGAACAAGCTCAAGTATTCAGTGTAGCTGTTGGTAATTTACCAGCAAACAATGAAGTTATTATTAAAATAACTTATGTTGCCGAATTAGAAATTGAAAATGATGAAATTATATTTCGTCTACCAGCTAAAATGGCATCATGGCAATCGAAACAAGCAATTGAAAGTAAAGATCAATCAATCGTACGATCGATTGGTATTATTGATGAAAAAGTTGAATTCAGTTTCAAAGCATCAATTCGAATGCCATATGAAATAATCAAATTATTTTCACCAACACATCGTCTTCGACGAAAATTAACTGATTGTATAGCTATGATTGAACTTATTGATAATGTCTTACTTGATCGAGATTTTGTTCTTTCAATAACACTTCGAAGTGCTAATCTACCTCGAATATCAATTGAAACATTATCATTGGATAATGATGACAATGGAACAACGATAGCATCGAAAAATGATGATTCTCAAGCATGTATGCTTACATTTTATCCACGATTTGAAACATTAACAAATTCGAATGAACAAATTGAACTTATTTTTATTATTGATGTATCCAATTCAATGGATGGTAGTTATGTACAACAAGCTAAACAATTAGCTCATTTATTTCTTACGAATATGAAATTCGATGATAGAAATATATATTTTAATATAGTTACTTTTGGATCAGGTATATAAAATGATAATTGATAGAATTATTCTATTATTCAAATTTGAATTATTTAGATAATGATGAATGTTTTCCGATTTCAACACCAACAACTAAAGAAAATCTTGATAAAGCTAAACACTTTGTTCTGGTTGATATTTTTTTGTTTTTATTACTATTGAAATATATATATTTAACTTATTTTAGCATTCACTTATCCATCGTGGTAATACAGATCTATCTGCTGTTCTTCATCGTTATTCACTATTACCAGCATTACCAACATCGAAATTTGGCCGTCAATTTATTATTCTCTCTGATGGACATATTCATGATCTTCAATCGATTCTTGTTCTACTCGAACATCAATCAACTATGCGTCGAGATCGTATATTTGCATGTTCAATTGGTAATGTTGCTAACAAACATGGTTTGAAACAATTAGTGAATGGAGCAAGTGGTGGTGGTCTAACAACTGTATTCGATTCGAACTATCGATCAAAATGGAAAACAAAAGTATTAAATATTCTCGAACAAGTTCGACAACCATGTGTTACAAATATATCAATTAATTGGCATGGTCATGTAGATGAACAACAAAAATTTAATATGCAAGCACCGAAAATAATTCGATCATTATTTAATGGAATGCGACTTAGTGTCTATCGATTTATACAAAATTGTCATAAGGCCACATTAACAGCTACTATCGATGGACAAGAATTTGTTACAACTGTATTTAGTAGTACAATGACAACGACTAAAGGACGTATCCTACATTGTTTAACAGCTCGAGCGATTATTGATGATTATGATAATGGATTATTACATGTAGACGAGAGCGAAAATGAACTGATGAAAGTTCAATATAAGCAAGATCTTATTGATCTAAGTATCAAACATTCAGTCGTTAGTGCATACACTAGTTTTGTTGCTATCGAAGAACGTGATGCTAAAACAGATGTAAAAACTTTTCAACCAGGTTAGTAGAAAGTTAAATAGAATGTAATTAATTGCTGTCAATATTCTACTTATCTTATAGGCGTTCGTCTTCTTGATGTTATGCTCGATCGAAATATTGACTTATTACCATACATAGGATGGGACGGTGATGTGTCAAATTTGGATACAATTAAACAGAAATTAATCGATGAACGTATTCCACTCGAAAGTGCATCGATTCAAAGCAAAAAAGAATCGATAGTCGATATTGAAAAACTTTGTGAAAAAATTTCCTATCGAGCAGGTGGTGATGCGAAATTTGATATGATGATGACTATCATACGTACATATCGTTATGCATTGAATGAACATGAAAAAGCAAATGAAATTGAAAATAAAATGCGAAATGGTATGTTATTCAATCATAAATAAATGTTTATAGATGTCGATTTTGAAAAAATAAATAGATCTTAAGACTGAAATGATTAGTGCAACGACAGAAGAACGACAAACATTACAACAACGATGTCAAACTAATAATTTGATAATTATAAGTGATGATGAGTACGTAAAAGAAAAACGAAGAAAATATTGATAAATAAAATTTCATATTTTGTTTTTTTTTTGTTTACAGTGAATCATCAGTTGACTTCGATGGTAAGACAAGTGGTAAGTAGAGCTTTCATTATAATGTAGTAACGTTTAAAAAGTATTCCAATATGATAGAACAAATTATTGTTTAGTATGAACATTGTATTATTCAATGAGCGATTTGACTTTCATGTTGAATTCAAGAATAAATAGGAGTTCGATTTTTTTTGGATTGAATAAAAGAAGTATCAACCATTTCCGATAATCGAATGATGTAAGCCTAATTAAGGGAGATAAAGTTCGATTTCTATCATAAAATTTCAACTTTTGGATTCCATGTATAAATAAAGCAAAGATGTTACTGTTATTTAAATCATGATGAACACAGGAAAATTATAAAAAATCCATAATATATTTGCAAAACCCACACCCACACCCACATCTTGCAATCACCTTTTCCAAAGAAATATTGATATTGCATTTTCATAGAACATGCTTGTTTGAAACTCCACTTTAAAGGATTAACAAAAACCCAACGGTTGGAAAAGATGAGACAAATAATGTCGTCGGTACGTCAATCCAATGTTCTATGTATCATTGATAATGAAATCGAATATTTATTTTTCAGTTGGGTGAAGCACCAACTGCCGCTGACGTACCCTCTACACCGTCATCATTATCATCATCATCATCATCATCATTATTTTCACTGGAACTTGCACAAGAGATGATAAGTAAAGGTAACGTATGAATTGCTACACATAACAAAATTTAAGAACGTGAGCATATATATAAAACGCGAATCATTATTCATAACCACGTTGATGCCGAAAATCTGGTTTCTTTAAGATTTTTTTTTAATCTAAATTAAAAGATTTTTGAAACAATTAAACAGATTGAACTGACATTTCTATAAAAATTCATTATGAAAGTCACGATTAAAAAAAGTCCTAAATTATATAACAATCAGTATTCATTTAGGCCCATCAGTTCTATTCAACTGTTTAGAAATTGTGAAAATATCTTATATTATTTTTCTAAAAAAATTATTTTTTTTGTATCATTAAGAATAGTGTCTCGAAAAAAAACAATCTAGAGGGTACTTAATTATAGAATCTTTAATATTTATGACTGAATCTCAATATTTTGATTTCATTCAAAAACTTACGTATATATAAGAGTTTAATCTCGTAGTAGAGACGCAAATACTTTTGACACATTTTGTTTTTCAAAAAGTCTATAGATTATTCTGATTTAAATATTCTGCATTTTTCTTTAAGGGAAAAAAATGACTGCACCAGGAACGCGTTCATTGGCAGCACCGGGAACGTGTTCATTGGCAGCACTATCAGATTCCGATGATGAAGGCGATGATATGGGTTTCGGCTGTTTCGATGATATACCAACAGCTTCCTACTCGGCACCTCGTAAGTTATGCAAATGTTATAAAATGCGATCTAAAAGGAATGTTGAAGTATATATATAGTAGACATTTGGACTCACTCCTCTCCTATTGTATCTCGAGAGCATTAAGTAAAAGAAGGCCGAAGATATGTATCTCGGGATATATATTGAATTAAATATTCAAGTTCATATCCGTATATAAAAATATTATCTCAAAAAAACAACAATCTAGAGAGTACTTAATTATACAATATTTAATGTCAACGAGTGAACCTAAATATGTTGATTTCACTCAGAAACTTGAAACTATGCTTTGATATTTAATTTGGAAATAAGAGATCTGAATCCTGTTGTAAGGAAATAAATATTCTTGTTATACTTTGTTTTTCAAAAAGAAAAAGAAATCTATAGATTATTTAATTTTACTTCTGGTTTCAATATTTTGTATTTTTCTTTAAGGAAAGATGCGTGCACTGGAAAAGGAGTCATTGAGATTACAGCCAGAATCCGACGATGACGATGATGATAATATGTTTGACATATTCGGTGATTATGTACCAGCAGCTTCCTGCCCAGCATCTGGTGAGTTATGGAAATTTTTTGAAGCATGATTTAAAAGGAACGTTGAAGTATTTAACATTATTGATATACGAGTATAGATCGCATATCAATAACGACTTGCTACAATATCAGAATTCTTTTCTTATTTATATTTCGAGAGGATTATGTACAAGCAGATTGAAGAAATATTTCCCAAAGTTGTACTACCAATTGTTTTTTTCATTGATGACTAAACTTCATTCAAAAACTGATAATAAATATTCACTGTAATGTTTAATTTGAGATCCAGAGAGTTCAACATTTTTGATAATCCTTGTTTTTTAAAACATACATTGCCTAATTGCTTCTGCATATATTCCTGTTGTTCTATACTTGGAATGTAGATTTTATTTTAGAGAAGAAGCCTACACCAGAAGAGCCTTCAATGCAACAACAGTTGAAATTGGCTGAATTAGAGAATGAAGACGATGCTATGGATTGGAGCATTTTGGACACTATGAACGAGTCCTCCTATATCGACTTTAGTAAGTTATGCATATACGTATATACAACAAAATTTTATAAGAATATCCCAATAAATATCAAAATCTCTCAAAAAATGAATTGTGGAAGCTACTAAGTAACCAACGGGATAATGGGTAAATATTAGGCTTTGACTGAACGAGACATTTTTGCAAAAAGTATGTAGAAAACTTTATTATCATTCAGTATAGTCTATTCGCTAAATGTAGTCTAATATTAAAATTGATTTATTAGATAACTATGTTCTCTCATCATTTACAAATTGAGGTTAGTTTCAACTAGTCAACTACGATTAGTACATCGGCTAATCTTTAGAAGAATAGATGAGTGCCTAGCAATTATCAAACATTATATCTTTAGCATCCCCGTATCATTTACTCAGCACTAAGATATTTCGGGAAAGAAATCGTTCATCATAAGGGTTTTCTAGTTCATTCTTTAAAGAACCAATTGTTTTTTTTTAAATGTCCGATACGGAGAATGATATTTTGTATATTGTCTATTTGCTGTAATGCTTTCTTTACGGATTATAGCAGTTGTATTTAGTGAAGAAGAGTGATTAATTTTTAGCACAAAAATATCAATCAAAATTGCAATTGATAACAAGTGACGCGAAACAACAGTCATTAGCGGATTATGGAGAAGCTGACTTATTTGGAGACGGCAGCGTTGGAGGCGACGATTTGGTTTCTCTCCGATTCACTGTCACCCGTGATTCTTCTTTAGCGAGTCATGATTTGACTACTACAAAGATAATTCCAGGTAATGAAGATAAATATTTTACATAATCGAATTTATTTGATTTATTTTCGAAATCTGAAGCCAAACAACTTCCAATATCTACTGTTGATAAAAACTTGGAAACGAAAAAGAGTGAGAGTACAGGTAAGATCGCTAATGGCATCAGATTTATTTCTTAATATTCTTTCCAGGATCTGTGCCTGCACCACCACCATTGCCACCAGTAAGACTGGCCCAACAATTATCAAAATCTACTGCTATGAAACGAGCGTCTGTATTTTCCATAGTATATATAATGTAGTCATTAGTGTTTTCTGTTAGACCGTCAACTAGTAAACAACAGTCAAGTCTAATATCGGCACAACTACCTAGACCTGAAATGTTGATTCTTCCCTCCGCTACCATCAGCCATGTCACGGCTCAAGCTCAAAGTGAGACCTGAATTTGACATACTAATGCATAATTGTCTTATATTTATTTTTATTTTTTGATATTTCTACTTTAATGAGATAAAGTCACGAACAGGAATAATATTTTTCTTTGGGATATAACTTTAACTGTCAGAGTGATGCTTTCAATAAGACATGCCTTCACTCACTGCGCAGTTCTTATGTTGATCAAAGAGATAGCATTTTGAATTTTTCCTACAAAAGCGGACAGAAAATTAAGCATAGATTTTGCTGATGTATAGAAATCATTTTCTGTATTATCCAATACTTTTTAGGCGAAAACGATCGATGTCATCTCTCGTTTCAAAAAAAAAGACCAGGAGCATCTAGATTTTTGAATAACTCATGAAATAGATTTTCAATACTTACAGAAAAAAATTAGAAAATCAGAACTATGTTTCCAACCCGTCGTAGTTAAACGACTAGAATTGAATACTGAACTTCGGCACATTTTGTTTCTTTTTTTGTCGATGTCAAAAATTTTAAAAAGTAATAAGCTCACCTTACAAACACAAAAAATGAATTTCCTGAATGCTTGATAAATATTTTCAATCATTTCGTAATAATATATGAGAAATCTAAAAGGAGTCGTTTTGTGAATTGAAATCCTGCTTTTTTACTTTATTTTTCTCAATAATTCTGCATGAGTCTTATTAAGATCTATTAGTTCCATTCAAAATTGAGTCTTGCTTTCTATTTTTTCGTAGCTGCTTCATTTTCGTCTCAAAGGCTACCTGCGCCTCAATCACTGCGTCCGCCGCCGCCGCCACCACCACGACCACAATTTATGCACCATTCAGCTGCAGTGAGAGGTAGAGGTGGGATGTCAAGGCCTTTACCACCACCAAGAGATGCTACAAAAACATCGATAGCATTTTCTGAGATGCCACCGCCTGCTGTTAATCAATCTCTTCAACAAAATTTTTCTCTACCACAATCAACTCCACGTAAGATATCTCCACATGTAATGACTTTGTATTCATTGAGTAATGAATTCGTAGTGTTTACGCCCTATTATGTGGCACCGATGGTCAACATTAACAATAATAACGCATCATTTGAGAGTAATACCATCGACAAACAAACAGCGCTTCAGAGTAGCTCATCGCCAATATCTTTAGGTGGTTAGATAATGTAAACTATAGAATATAACTCTCGTTCTCTTTTAGATTTTAGTTTTAACGACGAATTTGTCAGCAATACATGTGACTTATTTGATGTTGCACCATTGCCTGCTTCTCGTAAGTCTCAAATAGAATGATATTCATTTTTGTGTTTGGTGTCATTAGATTTCTGATGAATACAATGTGGATTCATTTAGATTTGGAAACTTCTGCTGCTCCTCCTCCACCACCCCCTCCACCACCTCCTCCTCTACCAACAACAACAGCAACAACATCATCATTTTTACTTGATAATTTCGACCAGGCTTTCGTCGGTGGTAGCAGCGTTTCAAATCAAAGTAAGACTGAAATTTTCTTTTCTTTGTATCCATATTATCCGTTGTTTGGATTAAATTTTCTCGTAGTATTGCTTTTATATATTATCTTGTTCGAACGAAAAACACAGTTGAACGTACCAAAGAAAAATAGTGTTACAAACATGTTTGCTTGTCGTGAGGATCTCGAAGTAACATTAAGTACCATAGGTTCATTTGCATGTCACCTACGTTGTTAGCCGAATATTGCAATCAAATGTTTCACTTCAAAATACAAAACACGTACATAGTGCATGTTCGATTAATTATTTATGAGATTTTGTTTATTTTTATTTATTTATTTAAAACTTCCGATATGAGCGTATGTGTAATCGTTAGTCAAATAATTAGTTGAATAGTAACCATAAAAATCAAAATCTTTGAGTATAAATGTACTTTCGAGGCTAATCTGCAGCAAGTTTGCCATTTGAACAGTCAATATCATCCAAACATAAAAAGCTATAACACGAATGATTTTTCATCAACGTCCTTTACGTTTTCACATGAGAAGAATTAGCAATGATGAAAACTTTTGGCGATACTATCATTAATTCATTGCCAGTTATGTACGTTAGACATATTACTTTCTAATTTGATGTTCATTTTAGGTAGCGAATCAGCAGATCGACTCAAACGGGACGAACTCTTGGACGATATTTCAAGTTGCATTGCTCCTTCTTCGCTTTCTATAGCATCACCCAAAAAGTCATATCCAACAGTATCGCTAAAAATGAAAGCGGCAACAGATGAACCTCGTAGTAGTCGTGGTGGTTGTATGGGATCTTCAACAGCAGCAACACAGTCAGCGATAAGCACTAGTAAGTTACACTCACATGAACTTCTTGTTTATCTCGATTAATAAAACGTGAATATATGTACAATTTCAGAAGCTTCGCCACGTGGTCGTACATATGGTAAGCTATTTGAAATAACTCACTCATATATTCTACTTTTTCTTCTACAGATGAAGATAAATTGCTTGAAACGAGGTGTAGGAACAAGATAAAAGCAAAGTTTCAAGACTTCGAAGTATGTACATTAACATGTAATTTTTTGTTCGGGAATTTCATTCATTTCTAGAAGCAAGATGATGATGATAAAAAGGCAAGTTTCTTATCTAGCGAGACAACACTGAGCTCTATAGTTGGTAAAAGAAAAAATGTCGAAACGTAAGTTTTAACATATATCAAGTAGATGAACTACGATTAATTATTAATCATCTAAATTTAGCCTTCAATCAAAAATGAAAGAAGTTCCAACATCCAACACATCTATATGTGATCTCCTTCTTCTCGATGTCTGTCCGCTTGGTTTCGGCATTGAAGATATTCATGGTCAAATGCATACACTTATTCGTCGCAATACAACAATCCCAACACGTACACAATTCTATTCAGTGTTCACAAATGCTTATGCCTATCAAACAACAGCTACCATTCGTATATTTGAAGGTGAACATAATCTTACAAAATACAATGTATGTGATGTTCGAAATTCAACATTTTTTTTTTCGATAACTTTTTCTATTGTAGACACTCTTGGGCGAGTTTAGTCTTTCTGGTCTGACAACTAATTATGCTGCTCAGACACTCGAAATCTCTATTCGCATGGATCTTGATGCTAATGGTATACTTCATGTTGATGCTGAAGAAGCACGTTCGGCTGCCAAAGCTTCCTTTAATTTCACACCTAATAATCAACAAAGTACAATAATTATATAACTGTTTGATATTGTAATTAAATCCTATTTATATTTATATAGGATTGACAGCAGATGATATTGCGCGACATATTACATATGTTAATAGTGACCCACGTTTTACAGCTAAATCGGGTGAGTGTTGAAAGTGTAAATGATAGTTAATTATTATTATTATTATTTTGTAGTCTATAATCGCATACCAAATGATCCATTGTATATGGTTTGTATTATGACATATTTTTAGAGTTTGTTTGTTTACTTTTCTGATCTTTTGTTAGCTCGATGGTCAAACTGAATCTATAATGCACAATTTTTCTGGTGAACCTATCACTTCACGTGGTAATTTATTCATTATTGTTATTGACAACAATAGTATTTGAATTTAGGTCAAACGACTAGTATTCCACTTTTCAGTAAACTGAAAGATGTTCGATCTACTACAACCATGATTGAAGAACTTTTCAATCTTCAATCCAAAGTTGTATTATTTTGGAATTTCATTAAACATTTATTGTTTTGTATTTAATTCGAATATAGGATGGTTCATTTACATTGAATAAAGAATTAGCTGATGTATTTCATATTGATTTTGATATTTTCCATGGTCTTGAAAACTACTTACGTAAACAAGGTTTTAACTCATTGGGTAACGTTGAATGGTTTATTATTAACGTGTAGAAATATGAGGTCTTTGTTTTTTTAGCATTGAATATACGCAATGACATTCTTCGTTTGATCGGCACGGGCGTTATTCTTATTTGGCTTGTTCTTCAAACACAAGCATCACAACAGAATACATTTCAATTTTTATTTAACATCGAACAAATCAAAGTGAGCTGAATTTTTTTTTCGATCTTCTCATTTTCTAGATTCATTTTTTTATATCTTGAAGGTTCATCTTTGCAGCCATTTACCTGCTAATATGAGCGAACAAATAAACAAAGCGATCGAATTCTATCAACAAACAAATCAACGTAATGGTATATATTGCACGCAATTAGAATTAAGTGATTCATCATGGAACATGTTTATTCAACGTATACTTATTGGTATCGATCCCGTCGATAATTAAAAAATGACTCAGCAATGACTTGTCTGCTTTTTCAAATATTTTTTCTTTTTACACTTTTATTATCCTAACCATGAAACGTTTCGACAAAAAAAAAGAAAGTTCGAAGATATTCTTATACTACTCAATTTCATGTAGTTGGAAGAATCTTACTTGAATTGTTTTGTCGTACGGGTAATGATTCATATCCTGTGACTGAGCTCGAAAATGTTTCTTACACATCGATGAGCGTGTGAGCGTGGGTGTGGGTATGATCTTTCATTCACTTACATCCACATCCACACTGTAGCTGAACGTTGGAATAAGAATGAGAAGTAAAAATATTTCCACAAATTGGTAAAACTCCCATGGATTTATTCAAATTTTCTTTCCTGAGCAACGTATGATTGGACTATCTGTATTTCGAAAAGTATTTTGCTATCTTGTGCAACGAATGAACATTGAAACCAGATTGCTCCTCCGTCAACAATGACAGCGCAGAAACACACAGCAACTTCAGGTGCTACTACAAGTGAGCACGCCATATTTTCTTCTCTCTTATCTGAGTTTTTTCCTTTCTGCTATCTAATCGACGGCATAGTGGGTGTGTCCACACAACGCAAGTAGTTGCATTTTTTTCTACGTGCGTGAATAAAAAAAAGAAGAAAGATGACTAGCAGCGGTGGCATCGGCTTTGCTATGGCACAAGCCGTGCTCATCAAGAAGCATGATCTTAGCCGCGCTGGAGGCTGCATCATTCTGACCACCGGCGTGTCCATTGATCATTTGCCACCGGGGGTTAACCATGGATGCTGGTGTGGACGGGATCATCGTCGCACTCGTGCGCGCTCTCGCCGTGGATGTGACATCCAAGGTGCGGGTCTGCGGCGTCAGCTCCGGACCCGTGCTCACCAAACTGTGGGATAACGTCGTCCAGGAACAGACGGAGCGCCAGGCTCTCATAAACTACTATGAGACGAAGACGCTTACGGGGCGTGTGGCTAAGCCCGAAGAGACGGTCGAGGCTTATCTCACGACTTAACATTTATGTAATACGCTGATGTAGAATGAAATACTAATATTCATTTTCTTTTCTGGAAGAAAGAGTTTTTCAAACGTAAAGTGTTTGTGTGTCTATCTGTCCAACCAATCAGAAAGTAGTATTTTTCGGAAATGCAATAAGCTAAGCTTCCCAATGGAACGTATGCCATTCTATTTAACTCTGATATTTTGTAAGGATGTTTTTTTCTGAATAACTTCGTTTAGCATAGACATATTTAAAAATATCAGCTTTTTCAGATATCGTTAGAATAAAATTAATTAATTAAGAAGTAATTAACGAATATCTTTCTAATCATATGAGAAAAATTTCAAAAATTTTAGGATAGACTGTACGACACGACCTATATTTTACGGTGAAATTTCTAGCAAGATTGGACTCCAAAAATCTCCCTCATAAAACTGGCTCTCTAAGATTCCTATCAAGCTTTGAAAAAAAAAATTTTCGTCTTATGATAATGTGCAGACCCTGAAGGATTTGTACCATTTGAATTACGCCGCAAACAAATGATTTTGTTTATATATGGGTATATAAACTCTTCACTCGTTGTTGCGTACATTCATTTCTTCATTCATTCTATTTGGTCATATAAATTAGTGCTGCTCTTTATTTTTGTTTTTCAGGAATCGATCGAGGGGTGCAGAATCTGTCAGAGATTCCCTGGAACAGACAGAAAAGCATAGCAAATTTTCCCCAACCTGTAAAATGTATGAGCCAAGAGGAAAAACTGATTCATAGTGCTAGAAATTACTGTCAATTATCAGAAATCACTAATAATCACTGTAATGCGTTAAGGATACACAAAAATGACTTGACGTGGTTAGAAACTACTGGAGGCCATCTGAAATCATTGATAACTATTGAATATCACCAATAATAAGGTCAAAAAGTGAAACCTTGATTTCTAGTGGTTTTTCATGATTTCTTATAATTCTCCTTAATTTCTAAGGATTTTTAATAATTTCTAGTTAGTAAATATAAACTAATTTCCACTCGTAGAATCATCAGAAATGATTACAAATCAAGAAATCAGTTTGTTCCTTCTTAATTTCTAGTGATTTCTATGACAAGAAATTAGTTTTTTCCTTTTGATCGAAATCATTAGAAATCAGAAATCAGTTTTTTTCTCCCTTGGAGTATTGTCTGTTTGTCGATACTATATCGAACTCTATTTCAAGCTTTCTTTTCCTTCTCCAATTTTCTCCGAGAGCTCAGTTTTTCTCGTGAATGTCGTTCCAGCCTACAGACAGATTCTCCACTCCTGAATGAATCTTATATTGAAATTGAATAATACCAAAATAGTGTCTCCGTAAATAAAGATGAATGCACCATGAGTTGACTAATTCAAATTCGAATATAAATGAAGACTGAACAGTATAATTTGAATTCGAAAATAACTGCAATCGTCATCTGAAGTGAGATGGATATTTCATTGTCAGTTCAGAATTAGAATTAGTTTTTTTCCACGCAAATTCGAGTTCACGTGGACAAAAATTAATTCTAATTCTGCTCTTACAATGATGTATATACCGCGGTTCGAATTCAAATTGAAAGCATCTGAATCTTAATATGAAGCTGGTTCTGATTCTATTACAGGCTGTGGTCTTACAGTTGTTCGAAAAATCTGAATTATATTCGAACTCGAATGAGACAACTACTCTGAATTTCCATGTCAATTGACTTGCATTATCACGAGAATAGATTTAATAAAGACGACAAAGAACAACAAAAGCAAGTTGGACAAAGAAATTCATAAGATAATGTACGAATATTTATTATACAAAACTAGCTTCTTCTTGATTAACATCGACAAAATAAACGCGAACTTCGATACGATTCGTATCAATATCTAAAAAAGAAAAGTCAACCAAGCCATTCATTCGATAAGATTTCTCATCATTTATTGAAAATGTCATTCGATGCCAGATTCTACGATTATCTGAAGTAACAATCGCTTTATCATGTTTATAATGATTTGATGTGAACACATTCACTAATCGATATTTTTGCATTGCATGTTCTAATTCAATTTGAAACAAGAGCTATTCAACGAACTATCATCTTCAGATTGATATCGAAATTGATTGATTTACTTCAGTATGAGTATTGACATTCTATGGAAGATGAACACAGAATCGATAAACTTTTTTACAGTATAAAATTTGAACTCGATAAATTTGATTTAAGTCGAATTTTTCCATTGGAATAACTTAAAAAAACTGAAATATTCCTTGATGAAATCAGATTCTTATCTGATACATTTCTGCATAGGCATATCGTTCCATCGATGAGATTCAACAATACAAAAAATGTTTTATCACTTCGAAATAGTGTTTCTACAAATCAAACGATTAGATCAAAGAAATCGTTTTATTTGAGTTCACTAGTGATAACAAAGAAATACTACATGTTTTACAGAAAAATCAAAATACATCTTTAGAAGAAAAGAAATGATTAATTAACCAATTAGATGATGAAAGAAACGTTACAATCGGTCTGTGATATTGTTCAAATTTCTTTCAAGTGTCGATTTCTGTTGTTAAAGTTGTTTTTAATAACCTTTGTATACTAGAGAAATCTGGTTGGTTGTATTCAAAGCAGTTTCTAGAACAATGGTTCTGAGCAGGGATGCCACCTCTTCCGCTTTTTGCGGAAAGTTTCCGCTTTTTCACCTTTTTTCCGCTATTTTTCCGCTGTTCCGCTTTTTTCCGCTTTTTGATATAAAAAGGTGATGTGTTTTCAAAATACGTACAGAGCAAAACTTATTATTGTCGAATAAAGTCTTACTGTTTACGTATCCAGTTAATCATCACTCTTATTATGTCATTCATAAAATCAATGGACGAACACAAAGCTTTTCTATGTTAGAGGGATTGTGCACTAATTGTCTGTTTGAGAATTTAAAATATCATTCTGCTTCCAATTGATAGTTAACTCCTTTTCAACTTATTTTGCCTATTGTATGTACGCAAAATAATCTCGAATCCAAAAATTTAAATGTTTTTTAATGATCTACAGATATTGAGATTACAAATTAAGATGAAACAGATCGTGAGAATTTAATAACAGCATCACCAATTCTGAAATCAAATGAAAATAAAAATGTTGAAGCCATACTAGGTAGTTATCAAAAGAGAAAAAAAGGCATGTTTAATCCACAATGGCTACTTAGTCCTCAGTTCGCATCATTTTTACGAGAGTATAAACCAGATTCAGCTAAAGTTCTTTGTATTGCCTCTAATGAACATTTTTCAGTACAGGACGGTGGAAAAAATACCATTGATCGTCACATAAAGTTGAAAGACACAACAACAACATAAAATCATTTCGTATAAATCGACAATTGATAACATTAACTATCAAATCTAACAAGGAGGTTGAAAAAAAACAGCAGCTGAAGAAGGTACTTTCGTATACCATGGAGTGAAGCATAGTCATTCTTATTCATTTCAACAATATTTTATGTTTTGCAATTTTGTTAAAATAAAAGCAGAATGCTATAGATATGAAAAACACTCAAAATTCTCATAAATGCTAAAAATCCGCGACGAAATAAGTTTCCGCTTTTTTTCCGCTTTTCTAAGTTAATTTTCCGCTTTTTCGACTTCATGAGGTGGCATCCCTGGTTCTGAGAGATAGTTTCAAATGAAAAACTTCAAAAGTATTAGAAATTTGGAAGAAAGAGAATGATATACAAAATTGTTGGTCAGTTTTAGATCATATCATCACAAATTGTCATCGAATCTCTGTAGTATATTCTTGCTGCTATTTCTCAATCATTTCTGCAGTTTTTCAAGTGAATCGACCATGTATTATTGGATTATATCATGATTCAATATCTTTTATATTGAAATTATTATTGAATATCATTACTTTTGTAATCTCTTGGAAGAAAAAAATAAATCTCAACATGATCGAGTATAAAAACTGAAAACATAAAGAAGAATAAAGGGACAATTAATGATGAGAGTATTATAGTCTTTGATGTATTCATGCATAATGCCTTGAAAATGTAAAACTATTCATAGAAGCCATATACGATCTTTTTTCTTTGTTACTATACCAATGAAGTCACCGTAAAATGAACAAATACTGCGATTAAAATTTAACCTTTTCAAACGTATGTTTAGAAGAAAAAAAAAAGAGTCATTATAAATATAATCTCTCAATATTATTTTTATTAAAATAACGAATGAAACATAGAAAGAATACTAATGAGCTTTATAGAAAGAAAATTTTCTAAAATGTAATGTGCAATGAGAATGGACTAAAAGTAAAATCAAGAATGACAGAAAAGCATTAATACTCTTCTTTTATTGAATTTAATAGTAATAATTTTTTGTTAAATAGATTATTAATATAAAATAAAAGAAGAGTACGTTTGATATAAAATAACTGGGAACATTACTTCACATTTTGTTCATAAATTAAATATCAGTAAATAAAAATAATTAATATCTAATTAAATTAATGCGTAGTAATAAAAATTAAAACTCGATCTTGTTAATGACTTTTTACTATATTGAATTCTTCAATTCGAAGAACACTTTCATTCTAGAGATGTCCATCGCGTTTGAGAATCTACTGTCGCAATGACACTATGAAAATCTCTTCCGCATCGCGATGATTTCTGAAAAAAAATCTGTCGTTGACACGACGCCATCGTCACGGCTGCAGCTTCGTCATGGACATCTAACTTAACTATGTTGAACACGTATTTTTAAGTGAACAAGATACAACTATCAATATTATTATAATAAAAGGTGAACTGAAATTTATGTTTGTAGAAGGTTTACACATAATATATTTCATTTTTTTCAATGATTTCTTCTGTGACAAAAAGAAAGTTTTTTTTCATAAATTTGATATAATATTTTAAAATAAGGCTTTGTTCTTGCATTATAGTCATATCTAAAGTAAATAATCATAACGCAGTGCATGTTGTTGTTTGAATATAGTAAATAATGTTTCACAAGTGACGTCTTTATAATAATGATGACGTACTAAGAAAAAAAAAACGTCAAAAATTCCAGATATATTAGTAATATTCTCTTATACTGTCTTACTATTATTTAGTCAATGACTATAATCGTTCAAGTACTAACTTTAACTGCATCATACTAATGCTGAATAAAAGAATTCTTATCATACAATGAAGAGAAATGTTAAAGAGATGTTATCTATGTAGAAATCAACAAAAAAAATATATTTATATATAACGAAGAGCATTCATACACGTCAAAGAAGAAACACAAAACAATGGAAAGCAAACTCGAAAATGGTAATGCTTCACTTATTCAAACATCCAGTAAAATTTTTGATTGTTGATTAAATAAATTCGAAAATGTTTTCTTTTTCAAGATTCTAAACGATCTGTCTTCGGAACATTAACATTATGTTGTATAATCTTCTTATGTATTGTATTATTTCTCTGTGTTCTTACATTACCAATAATTCAAATCGTTATGGGAAGTTTATATATGCATTCATGTCCTATGAATCCTCATCTACCAATATATCTTATTTCTGCTGGTGTGGCTATATTAATTCTTATAATTACATACACTATAGAAGTAATATTCTTTTCAAATATTTCATAAATTAACAAAAAAATCCCTAGCGAATTTGATCATTTTCAAAGAACGACAGAGGCTGAATTCTTAGTTTTTAGGTTCCTACAGACAAATCAAGACTCTGGACTATTATAAAGATCGTCGTAGCAATCTTATGTCTTACTTGCTTTATAACTGTAAGTCAAAGTTCATTAGAAATTATCAAAAGTTGTTTCAAACAATTGGTACCTTTCTCATTTTAGGGAAGTGTTTGGATTTTTCGTGACAAAGGAATAGTTCAATATCATAATCCAAAATATTCAAGTACATATTGTGAATATTTACTATTCAGTACTGCCTATGGAACAATGTTCGTCAATTATAGTTTGTTTTTCGGTGCTGTATGTTATAGTTACAAATCTCCAAAATGATAATTCATTACACTATAACTTGTTCACTAATAATATGCAAATATTACCACATTGAACTAAAATAAAATCTTACAAAACTCTTTTTTATATTCAATTTGATAAAAAAGATGCTGATCCTTTTACTATAGAAGAATGCTAATGAGAAATAATGACAACATCAATATAAATATATATACGAAATTAATAAGTACAACTTGAAGATGAACTATTATGTAGAAAGTTTATGGTTGTCCTTGATGATACAGAAAATTGGCACTATTGCAACGAACACGGATGTGGGTGTGGATGGCGCGAAGACTCAGAACCCCTACCACACCCACACCCCAAACGGCAGCAAAATGTTTTTCGCTTCTTTCCTCTGCTCTGATAAATCTCCAACAATCGACGATAGTTTTCAAAAAAAAAATGTTCTAAAAAAAAAAGGAAGTCAGATTATTGACATAATTCAGCATATAACGATGATTTCATTGAGGAAAATCAAGCCCTATTATTTAGAAATTCAAAGTAAAAGTTTTTATAAAAACATCGTGTCATCCACTATTGCCTTCTGTAATAGAACATATATGTTTCTGCCTTTAATATAACTATCGATTCAAATAAAATATATCGAACTTCATGTCATTGATATGAGTAGTGAATTCACTTTTCGATAACTGCTCATATTAAATGACAAAATCAATGCTGACGATATTGTTCATCTTATTTTATGAAATCAAAAAAAAAATTGTCACTCTCAGTTGATCTATATGTTTACTCTAAACATCAACAGTTTCGTTTATACAACTCCATTAAAAGTGACTTGAATGATCCAAATAATAAGTACAGTAGATTATGACTCGAACAATCGGAACTTCACTGTCATATCGGTATTCGACGTGATATTTCTAACATAAATATTCAGCTTCATTATTGAATAAAATATTTTTTCTTAGATTTGTTATGCTCTTTTCAACCTTTCTGTTATCTCATATATTCATAAAATATTCAATACTTCTATCGTACCTTGAAAATTTTTGAATTTTTATATTAGGTGCTATTTTCGTTAAATGCTATTTTTAAGAAAGCGCGAATATTAATTGATTTAATGATTAAATGTTTCATACAAAAAATATTTTCTTTTCATCGGCAGTTGTTGAATTCTTATTAAAACGATTTGTTTTATCTATATTCAATTTATGTAAATTATATGATTGTTTATTTCTGTTGAATTCATGATCACATTCTCAGTAAAAATATGTCTTTCGCCAGGTTGAGTAAAAAATACGACAACATAGATCCAAGCTCTATTGTAAACACGAGTGATAGATTATTACCAATCTAAGAACAGCTTTTCATTTAAAAGTTAAATCTTAAAGATGACACACAAACTATACAATCATTATTTAAAATCTAGAATGAAAAATATCATTGTTAACAATCGAAGAAATTTTTATGCAAAATCCTAATGTTCGATATGAAAAACAAACTATGGAGTTGTAACTTAAAACTCAAAGTTCGTAGTTACATACCTACCAAGTTTAGTAGAATTCTTTTACTTATATATTCTAACCTTGAACATGAAAAGAAACTATAAAGCTATGATTTTCATTTCAAAAATAATATCTTCCTAATGTTAGAATAATTTTTTGCTTGCATATCATAACTTTAGAGAAGAAAAACAAACTGTGGATATGAAAATAAAAATATATCAAGTTTCACTCATATTTCTTAAAATTTTGTTTAGTGATCATGAATCTATTAGGAAAATAATCATATAGATTTATTTGTAAACAACTTATTTAAAAAGAAAAATAAATTAATATTTAAATAAAAAATATATTTACACATAGTTATTTATTCGTTTATGTAACTAAAAAGAAAAAGTATCTGAAATACGACTAAGCCGTCTATATCAATTAGAAATTATAATTATAGGAAAACTTTAACTTTTGCCAGAATTATATGAAAGTGCCTGGACAAATTTTAATTTATAATTATGACAAAAGTTTATCTTTTATCTCTTTGCTACAATTAGTCGCTGGCGTTATTATTTTTTTCCATTTATTTTTGAATTGATATTATGCAGTTAAAGGCTCATTTATATTCAAAGTCGAATTAGGCAACTCATGCTGAAATCACATTTAGCCGTTGTATGCAATGTATATGGCTCAGTAATTAAAAAGCCTTTTTTCAAAAGAAACTGACACACAAATGAGGAACTTGGAATTTGCTAGTCGTGCATACTAATGACATCCACATTCTTTCACAACGTCAAGAAATCAGTTAAGATAAATAAATGAACACGTAGAGAAAACTAACATACTACAAGAACAAACGCATTTACAAGTCTTCATATCTCGAATAAAATGGCATCATCTATTATTTCATCATTTGCTTTTGCTGAACAACAAATAACCATATATTTGGGCATATTCATTCTCTTCGGAGGTGTCCTTGGTGGACTTCTCAATATCACTGTTTTTCTGAGTCTCCAAACGTTTCGACAGAGTTCATGTGCATTTTATTTAACTGTGATGTCAGTTGTCAACATTGGTCAATTGATTACAGGTCTGCTCAGTCGTATAATGATCACTGGATTCGGCATTGACTGGACCCAAATGTCTCTGTTCTACTGTAAAATTCGCTCGTACTGCATTATAACCTCTGCACTGATCTCCTTGAGTTGTTTTTGTTTGGCAACAATTGATCAATACTGGGCCACTTGCTCTTGTCTCCGATGGCAACGGTGGAGTAATATCAAGCTAGCTCGTCAACTGTCAGCAATCACTGTTCTCATTTGGATTCTTTTCAATATTCCATATTTCATTTATTCCAACCATATTGTGTCAGCTACAACGGGCCGAGTGACTTGTCAGATTACAAATAATGTCTTTCAACAGTTCTCAACCTATGGAATAAATGTCACTTTTACAAGAATTTTGCCTGTCAGTATATCATTCTTGTTAGGAGTGTTGGCCTATCGCAATGTGGAACAACTTGCTTATCGAACAGTGCCGATTGTTCGACGTGAGTTAGACAAACAATTGACAGTGATGGTTCTTGTGCAAGTTGTCGTTACTTTCTTTACAATTGTTCCATATAGCATTATAAATATTCTATTAACGATTTCTAACCTCACAACAGATCCGATCATTAGAGCGGAGCTTCAGTTCATATCTACTTTGTTCATGTGCATATTTTACATGAATTTTGCGGTAAGGATACGTATATTATGGAGTCATCTGAAAAGTGAACTTGTGTTTAGAGTCCATTCTTCATTTATTTTTGTGTGTCAGATCGATTTCGTCGACAACTGAGATATGTGGTCTTCGAAATTCATCTCCAAAAATATCGACGACAAGAAATTGTTATAAATCAAGGCACCCCAGAAAATGTGTGAACGTCGCTTAGAAAATCTTTCATAACAATTGAAAACAGCACAGTTGTTTTTTTGTTGTAATTGTATTAAAGAAATTTATTTGTAATTTGTCGTCTATCAGTGATCAATAAATATCTCTATGTTCGACTTAGAAGAAAAGTAGACTTTAGATTTCTTCTGTAATCTCTGTAACAAAAAAATTTTTACGCTCCGACAAAAATCTTCGATTATCAACAGAAATATACATGCAAACATGTTTTATATGAGAGAATTTACGACGTGAAACTCTGAACATCCTAGGTGTCTTCGGGTAAAATGATGTTCAAGCGCTGCTTTCTTACATTTACCTAAAAACAATGCCTACAAATGGCCATCCAATATGCGTTTTTTTTTTCTGCTGAAGGTGTGTAAAAACAGCGTTTATCAAGATCCTGTAATTTAAGGGAACCTGAATATTTTTGTCTCATTTACAATACGTCCAAGCTAGACAACAATGACCAGACAAATTGTCTAAAAATGTTCGGTCGCTAGTAATCTAACTGATGTTGTGTAAAGATGTTCAACTATTTCTGTTTCTTTAGATTGTTCGGTGGATTGAAAACCAATCTCTTCAGGTACTCGTTTTGTCAAAAGAGATATAATAGAAGCGGTTGAGGTTTTTTTTAAGGCAAACTATATGAAAATGTTTAGGTTATGTAAATTTACACTATAATCGACACTCATATGGCCTTTACACAAAGAGAAAAATATATTCTGTTTTTTTCCTTTCTACGTTCAAGTGTAGCAGCAAGCCTTGACTGTACTATACGTTGAGATCAATTATAGCTCTCTTTTCAGTAAATATGACACAATCTCACAGTGTCAAATAAAAATCATATGTAAACAATTCCAGGTTTCATCTTTTCTGAGTTAAGAACAAGTTAAGAAAATGATAAAAGATCTCACTGTTTAAGATCTATGTGTCAATCATATCTCGGTCCCAGTACGCCATGAGCCCGAGTCCTTTTGGGTTTTTCTTAGTCTCAGTGAGCCCTACTTGTAGCCAAAATATGGAGTCAAACGGCGTTGGACAGTTGGATATGTTTTCTCGTTAACCAGTTCGAGCAATGAGAACATCTCGAACTGATTTATCGACTAACACAATACGACGAACGGCTTTTGACTTTAAGTATGTAAATCTTTTTCACTTCTTCTATTATTCAAAGAAAATCTTGAAATCATAAAACTATTTTGTCACCTTAAATTTTTATGAAATAACCAATGTTTTTACTTTGTCCACTTTTAGATGATTATTTGACCAATAGTCGAAACGCGTCGTATGGTGCTTTGAATCTATTCGATGAAAACTCACCATCACACCTTCACCCTTACCATAAAAGACAAGTGTTGAAAGAAATAGCCAATTTGGGGTTGAAGACATGTTTTTTCCTTCAACATGCTTCTTCGAAACTTTCAGCGTGCCCTAACAACTTTTTAGAGAAATGAGAACGATTTACCGTTCAATGCATCATCATAGAGACAAAATATGAGAGAATCAGCATTAAAAGCCTATAATTTGATCTAGTCAAAAAATATATACTCCTATTTTAGTCAATGAGGATTAACGCCAAAAACATCAACGAGACTTGTAAAATAAAGACAT